AATTTCAGAATACCACGGCCACATCATTTACATTTGTCGGAACGCTTTAAAGAACGAGGAATAACACAATAGGCACTTTTAGTATTCAATGATATGCAAAGAAGTGGTCGGGTATTCTGAAATTTAGCATATCACACTCAAGTTTGTAGGATTACTTGGTTGACGTTCGAGGTATTCACTTTTTTTGGCGGGGCGTTAATTGTGAATTGAAATTGTCTCTCATATCAATGACTTGAACTATCAAGTCCAGAAGAACAAAGCCTGGCTCAGTAATTAGCACGCTCTTTACGTCTTTGTCGACTTAGATGTCTCTTGAGTATTACTGTATAACTGTACATGTCGTACAACACAACAACGTTGTACAACACCTTAGCAGCAAGACAAACAGCTTACAGTTAGTCACGGAAGACTGGAAAAAGCGAACGAACAGAGAGACTGAGCACGTTTTCAACGCGGTTTATTCGCGTGGCGATCGTTATAAAGGAGCACTTGCTGTCAGTCTAGCAAAAAGTCAACCTCGTCAAACGTCTGAAGTGATTTTTTTAAAGTGAAAAATCGACAAGGATATTTATAATATCTAGTCAATGTAATTATACATTGTAAAATAATAATAACCTTCCTCTCGTTGAAAATGCTTTGGATACGAGCAAAAGGCGCCAATTGCAACTAACTGTAACTATTCTGGTAAACTTTCAAAAAGTTCAGTAAACTAACTGTGTACTGGCAATATATTATACTTTGAACAGTGAAATTAAAGAACTGTCAATTTCCTAAGCTTTTGCAAATTTCTTTCATTATAGTGTCGTTTATTAACCGTAGGCAAAGCGAAAGCAAGACATCTGTTAGTTTTGCATTAGTTATATATTTGGGAGCTGAAGCAAAAACGTTATTCTGCAACGCATGTCAACCGGAAGTAAACTGTTTGCATTCTTGGGTTTGGCTGACTTTTCGAGCAAATCGTCTCCATAAGAGACACTTAGCAATTCAATTTTGGAGCGTTAAGGTATATTAAAAGGTAAAAAGGTCTGACTCGTGACGTGTGTCGCTCAAAAACGCCTTTGCTTGCGTGAGCTATCGATACTGGTTTCAGCTGAGGGCACGGCAGCCATGTTGGTTGATCTGACAACAACAAAAGTGAGTTTCCCTCCGCTGGGATCGGAAATAAATTCTTCTTTCTTTCCTACACAAATTGTTCGCAAAAAGTTTTATTGTTTGGTCAGCCAACGCGGCTGCCTTGTTACATCGTTGCAAAACAAAGAATACAAGGTTAAAATCCGACGTTTCTAGAAGTATAGTCAAGTATAGTCTTTAGTTTGGAATGCTGGCGTATTTTTTGGGCCAGCGAAAGTTCCTTGTTTTTGCTCGTAACAGAGAGGAGAATTGTGACGTCAGGTTACCATGGTAGCAAGTTTTCTGGATCTCAACAATCTTCCTTGACAGAGACGACCATTTGCATTGTCGAACGATGGAAGAAAAGTATGGGCTACCGTTTTGTTCCTGAGTGCAATTATGCACAGAAAAGTCATACTTATTAAAATGTCAAATTTTTCGTCTTTTTTGTCATATTTGCAGAGCCATGATTTTTTTAGACTCAGAAATTTTGCTACCATGACAACGGGACGTGGCGATTTCTCCTCTCTATGCTGTGGCCGCCATCTTTGAGTTTATCATCGAGGAAAACTGGGGAGAGCAGAAATTACAACCCCTCCCTTTGACAGGCCATAACCTTTCCGCTATTTGCATTTCAGTATTGTGGTTCAGCAACATGGCGATTACGCGAACAAAAACACCAGCAATGCAGTCTATAGGAGTACTACTCACAAGTACACTGTATATTTTACAGTTTGCAATTTTCGTCATTGTCCATCTCTCCAACATGTGTTGGAAGATCTTTTTGGCCGTTTTCATACGGCAGGAAAGGCAGATATTTGGCCGCTCTGCAATGACTCAGTCTCTTAAGACAAAATGGAAGATCATACACGGAAACGGAAGCAGTATCAAACTGCTCTTCGCCTTCGTCGTCTCCCAGGTGTTGCCGCCATGTTTTTAGTCCGCGTTCTTCTTCAGTACCAGGAATGGTGTTGTCCAGAATCAACGCTACTATGCATCCTACAGCCATGCTTGTTTTCAACAGAACAGTAACTATCTGGTCGATTTCTGTTACACCTATTGAAATAATTATTACCCTTTTATATGGTGTACAAGGCTCTCAGGTAGCAGAGACGCCGCGAATATACATAAGAAGCGCACGATCTGGTGCATTCTCTCTCCCCAGTCCCAGCGCGGTTTTCACATCACTTTTTTGACTGAACGACTGCACTACTATCTTGGAGCCTAGAGCAGGCTGCTCTTGAAAAACTATACTTTCCATTGAAAAATGGTACCCCTTTCTCATACCTGATTGAGAATTTGCATCACTTTTCTAACTCTTGGAATGTAATGGGAGAACATGATTAAAATGGTAACGCCATAAACTGTGTCCGCGCGAAATATTTTGATTCTAGGCCCCTTTAACTACCTAAATGAAACGTTTTTCTACCCTTTCAAACTCTTAAACTCATGAAATCCCTGTACATACCTGTGTCGATGGCCTTTGGATTATTCTCCATGTAGTACGGAAGAGCTAATCCAAAAACAATAGAAAAACCAACTATAAACAAGTTTCTGGAAGAATTCATGTCAGCAAACTGCAGGTTAGAGATTCCGACGGCGGAGATCATTCCAAACATGACCATAAAGACTCCACCGACGATGGGATCTGGAATGCTGACAAAGAGCGCGCCGATTTTTCCAATAATGCCAACAGTCATTACAACAAAAGCACCCCACTGGATCACTCGACGACTACCAACCTAAGAACGAAGTAGTGTAAGATAAGTTAGAAGTTAATCTTGAATCGTAATGGTGCCATGAATGCTTAAGTACTGTTACCTTTTTCCATCTTCCAGGGGCACGAAGTACCAGTTACTTAGACCTAGCTATTGTATATATACCTCAGTCCAGGAGCGGGTCCAGGGAAGATGGCCAATTAACATGTTTGTTAGAAAGGTTTAATTTGTACTTTATTTCCGTGTTTGGCGTGATATCGTGTGCGGCGGAGGAGAGAGTACACGATTTTCGAGTAGTTATGTAAGTATTTAATCTATTTTGCGGCGTTGTAAAAATTTTAAATTCCTTTCCATCCTTTCTCATTTGAAACATTTTGAGGACACCATAATACACATGAATAAAACTTAACGCTTTGTTTCGAGGCTGATTGGTAACAGCTAACACCCTTATAGATCCGCAACTGCAGTCGTGAGGTAAGGGTACCGTGCACTTATAATCCTGCGATAACCGGTTAACTCTCATTTTGACCACTAGTTGAGTGGTTTGTCTCTTGTCCTGTGTCAGTCACCCCCTTATTAGCAAAGCACGCTTCTAATAAAAGGGTTAGGTTCTTAAGAAACGAGGGGTGATGCATCGGAGTAGTAATGAGAAATGGGTTTTATCAGTTGACTTGATATGACAAATTTCCTACACTTCTTAAACAGCAAGGATGCTGTCATTTGCACCAGCGAGTGTCGCATGACATGTTTCACTTTAGTAAACAAAACATGAGCTAATTAAACTGCAAAACGATTGCCTAATGTACCTTAGTGATACCAATTGCTCCAATGTTCTCACTATATGAGGTTGTACCATTTCCAGTTCCAAAAGCTCCCGCTAAAAGACATCCAATCCCCTCCCAGGCAATCCCACGATTGATCGCATGTTTTGGAGGAGGGGGAGCTCCTGATAATCTCGCGCATGCGTAGTAATCTCCTACAGACTCGATGATTGAGGCTAATACACCGGCGAGTATCCCGAACACTCCTGCGGCACTAACAGTGGGCATTCCCCATTGACCTGGGTTAAACAACACAAATGTAATACTAGAATTGTTCCATTATAAAGGTCAAGACTTCTCCGAAGCGACTATAACACTTGCGCTCGAAGATGGCGGTGGTGCATGGGTTGAGGGTGGGCGGGGGTGGTAGGGGGCATGATACGAGACACCCATGGGCTCCCGACACCTATCGATCTGAACCTCTGAAGTAGCAGATTTATGAGCCACCATTTTAGTGTGCGTTTTATTTTCTAACCACAACACACGTCACTTTTTTTGAAATACTTGCCACGTTACAACCTACCTACCTAATGTTGATACACGTATACCGTAAAATTCCGAAAATAGGCCCCTCCAAATATAAGGCCCCAAACCGGTAACGCAAAAAACCCTCCGTTAAATCGCCCTCCAAATATAAGCCTCCCGAGGGCTTGTACTTGGAAAATTGCCCTCAAATACAAAGTCAAACAAAGCAAAAACGGTAAATTTACCTCCAACTATAAGGCAAGCCCGATCGATTTTGAAACGCAAATTTCCCTCTGTAGATGAGCCCCCCCAAAACAGGCCCCTCAAAAAGGGCCTTTGAAAAACATAAGTCCCAGGGCTTATTTTCGGAATCTTACGGTAATCCATTTGCAAGTATACGCAAATCTCAATATAAGGGAAGGAAGGAAGAATTACACTCTGGGAAAAGTTAAATAAGTTGGTTGAGAAGGCGTGACTTGAGAAATCCTCAGTTTCAGTCTATTGTTTCAAGGAAATTTGACGAGTATTATTGTGGGAGTTTTGATCATCTTTCTCGGTTCCTTGCTCCGGGATGGCATGTTTTCTCTGATTCCCGTGTTGAATTCCAACAAGGATTATCAATGCTCGGGTCCAGAATGGGATAAGGTAGTACTTCCGTCTATGTAAACGAATCCAGAACACTTCTGGTTAACTATCGGAAAGAAAGCCGGGGAGCTGATGAAACTTCCCATCACTGTATGAAATATTATCGTAGCTGCTTCAGTTTCATGTGAAGAGGAATAAACTATGCGCTATGCTCACGGACAAGCTTTACCTGGGTACGGAAATCTGAACCATTTTGCATCTTTCAACACACCAATTCTAGCATCAGTTCTTGCCTTGTACTGAGGATTGCTGGGATCCGAAGGGAAACCTCCTGCTACCGTGATGATAGCACAGATCAACCAGGAAACGGCGATCGCAAGAATGATCTTGGAAAGGATGACACGTATAACAAGGAATGAGTCTCTAAGCAAGAAGCGATATTAAAGTGATTGTGGAAGACAATTTCTTAATTGATTTGGTATCTGCATTGTTGTACTGTCGCGAAGTAAAACAACAACAACAAAAAAAACGTGACTAGATCACTCGTCTTTGGACAGACTGGAGATGTTATTACTTCACATCTCGAATAATAGTAAAAAAGGTCAGAATAATAAAATCCCTGCATTCCAATGGAAGCGATAAGAAATAGAAACTTATAATCTCAAAACGCAGGCCTTTTAAGGACATTTGCGATAGGGGTACTTTAATATCTTTACATACCAAGTTGCCATCTTTAGACAGATTTTTAGTGATTGAGGCCTATAGTCAGTTTGGAACCCCTGATCCCTATGTGGAAAGGGGAGGATGTGTCGGGGATGCCTGTCGTCTCGCGAACAATACGTTCTCTAACGAGTGACGGGTCAACTTTTTCCTGTTAATCGTACTACCTCTCCATTAAAATCTGGTATTGCCAGTTGTTATAATTCCAGGTGCCAAATGAGTGAAAAAAGCAACATTTGTACTTTGTTAATATAGCTGGAAATTTTCTCCCGACAGCGCGCGCTCTCATTGGTTACTTTGAGGTCACATGACATCTAAAAATGAAACCGTTTCCCGCCAAAATCTCTGAGCTGGTAACATTGAAAAATCTTTGACGTCGGAGGGTAACGGCGCACTGTTGCCCGCGAAAGTTGACCGACGACCGCCGTTACAGCGAGGTTTAATGAATTTCCAGCTGTAAAGACTGGTCCCTCGGGATTCGCACGAAAACAAAATTAACTGTTTCCCTCGGGACCAGTCATTAAGCATTAAATGTGTTCAATTCAAAGGGTATAGACGGAAATTTTTGTTGCTCAAAATATCATCTGGTTTCTCTTTCGTCTTCGTGTCAATATTAGATACTCACGGGAAATAGCCTGAATAACGGGTAATGATTAACGTAGAAACCACCTCGATCTTTGCTATATCCTGGCACAGGAATCTTGACATTGGTTAGGTATTGGGAAAACAGAGCTATTAATGCGATGGTCCTGAAAAACAAAGAAGACTGCTTTTACTACAATCACCAGACAAAGATAGAACTACCTTCTGAAACTGGTCTACTTCCTTTGTAAAACCTTCGATAAAAAAGCAGATTCCCGCTGGAAAGAAAACTACTTCACCCATTCTTCGTACGCGGGGCCGGTTTGTACACAATTAGGGCCGTTTATACCAGAGAAAATAAGCCGCGACTTACTATGGCCGCGGTTTACATAAGATGCGAAGGGAACCATTTATACGAGTACAGCTTATATAAAACGAGAACTGATGGTATAAATGGTTCACGGCTTAGTACGCGGCCAGACTGGTTCAATGATGACGTAGTTTGTTTTGGTGCCTCGTGTAATTTGCAGCAATGGCTCGAGCGAGCAAGAAAGCGAAACGATTGGCTTTGGTCAGGCAAATCGCCTTATTTTACGCTGTCTTTTTTGTTTTAAATTAACATTTCGGTCAAAATCAGTTCTGGGCTGTTGCGTAACTTGTGCGGAAACCTCGACGAAAAGTTTGTCAGCGGTCAGTCGAGTGGTTTGAAAGAGATATTCCAGCGATGGATGAGTTAGAGTTGAGACGAAAGTTCCTGCTCTCTCGCTCTCTCGTGCAGCAGGTCATTAGGGAGTTTAAGATACGGCGATTACGGACTACGACTACGGATAAACATGCTACTGCGCATGATCAAAACCACGTGACTGTTCATTTTTCCCGCGTGGTCCTGTGGCTGCGGTGAGTTGTTGAGCTGTTTCGCGTAGTCGCGACTACGGAGAACATTTTGCTCGTATTTTGCCGTCCGGTAACTCAAGAATCTCATCTTTTCGTAAAAAAAGTTTTCAATTCACCTGCTTTAAGTGAGAGGGAAGCGAAATATGTAAGTTGTGTCTAATTTCTGCTCAGATTTACTGACGCTTTTAATCGACTGTTGTGATTCAAATCTTTCTAGCTAAGCTCATATTAAGCTCAGATGTTTATACGCAGAATTCAGATTGACGGCGTAGGAGAAGAGAAATCATGTAGGTAATTTACTTTCTCTTCGCACTTGAAAAGTTTCAATGTTTGGTCGAATTGATCATTGTGTCTTTCTACGTGTGTAACCCTTGTTTATGCGAGTTTTTGAATCGCGCCATTTACTGAATGAAAATGATGTAAACATCTTCGAGACAATCGAAACTCGGCATTTCAATACTTCAAACTACATCAGATCAGTAGTCGGAGAAGTCCATCCTCTAAATCTAATAAATGAGCTATTACTATTTCTGTCAACATGCAAAACTGACTTGCATTTTTGTGAACTGTGATGAAAACAAGAAAATCTTTGCGTCTTGTTTCCCTCTCCGCCTCTTCTCTCGTAGTTTACTGTCTGTAGTGCAATCTTAACGTTCTATATTTGCACTACTCAACCCAGTGCTACGAACAAAGGACAACGCTCGTCCTGCCGTAGTTCGTAGTCCGTAGTCCCCGTATCTTAAACTCCCTATTTTCCTGCCACTGCAGCACCCGTCTCTCGGCCGTGAAGGGCTGGGATATAACTGAAAACAGAATATGTGCAGCAATCGTTGACGGCATCAACAAACCTCGGACAACGTTTGAGTCGATTTATACGAGCACTTTCTCGTCTGGGGTAAGCCGCAGCTTGGTTAGGCCCAGCCTAAATCTCCTCGGCCAGGATAAGCCGTGGATTGAGCTAGCCGTGGGTTTAATAGGCCGTGAACGTAGATTTTGCTCCGTTTATACGGGGTGTTCGCGTCTCATATAAGCCGCGGCTTATGTTCTCTCGTATAAACGGCCCTATATATTTTTGCATTATAGCAGAATAATACGAAAGACTTTTCTGTAAAGATGTACTTACGCCATTGAAATTCCCCAGTGATTGCCTATAAACATTAAAAAGAGTGTCAGTTATGAAAAAGAGTCAATTATGAAGGTATGTGATGGTCTGTGATCAAAATCCAGTAGTTTGACCATTGAACAAAAAAAAACCCTCTTTATTTTAACAGTGGGTACTTGCTTAAATTTTTGAGACTGTGTATTTAATGCTATTAGTGTGTGACCATTTAAATAAAACCTCTCCAGCAGTACTTTCACATGATACTTCTTATTTGAAATGTAGTTCTAGCTTTTGAGTCTGTGGATGAAATCCTATGATGTGACCATTCAAATGGAACCTCTTCAACACTACTTTACATGGTACGATTTAGTTAGTGTGTACTTTTAACTTTTCAGAGAATGTGGATGAAATTAGGATTGTCAAGTTAAACATCGCTAACCTTCACAAAGCCGTCATTCCGCGGAATAAATCCACGGAAACAGTCAAAAATCAAGGGCGGATTTAGGAGTGGGCCCAGGGGGCCCCGGCCACCCTTTTGTCCGGGAAGTTTTTTCTTTTGTAAAAGTGTAACGGATGGTACTTCGAGCATTTTTACTTAAATATATTTTCTTTAAGAAACATTGTTAATAAGAAAATTTATCAAACGTTGTCTGTGCGGGAGGTTGTGCTCTCGCCGCAATCGCGTCGGCCCCTGCTAGCATCATAACGTTTTTACTTCTTTGACTACAACCACACCTGTGCTTTATTAAAATTTCAGCATTACATGTTCAGATCTGTTCAATATGGAATCCAGGCTTTTTCTAAATTTAAGCGTCCAGAATGCATTGGATTGCATCTCAGAGAACTTCAATCACAAAACTTTTCCCGGAGGAGCCTGCGCCCGAAACTCCTTGGAAAAGTTGGCCGTTCCCCTCGCCTTTTACAGTCCTGATGGACGCTATCGCGCCCATTTTCCCATTTTTTCTGTATACTATATTTCTACGCCCCCTCTATCACAAAATCCTCAGTTCGCCACTGAAAATTGACCTTATCTATATACGTGTATTGCTTAATCAAAACCGTTCTCTGAATAACTCGTTTGATGCCAAAATAGTCTGAAATTGACGTCCACAATTCATCCTATCTGGTGTACCCTAGCGTTGGGAACATTGACATGCTGTCAACTGAAGGGTTTTAAAAGGAGACGTCCATTTTAGCAACCAGTTCATAATGAAGTGTCGGCATTAGCATTATGAATGATAATCTGTTGATTGGGCAAGAAACAAGTGTCCGCAGTAACGGGTGTCCGTATTGAGCGGGTAGAGTTTAGAGAAAATGTAAGGGCTTTCTTTCCCCGGGGACAATGAAAATTGTCCGTAATAACGAGGTGTCAGTAAAGCGAGGTTCGACTGTACCTGCATTTCCAGCTGCTACTTTGAAGAGTGCCACGCCCACCAGGGTTATTGTTGGTGCTATTGTCAGTGGTCCGATGAAGCGAAGGAGAAAGCCAACAAGACCAGTGAAACCAATGACAATTTGGAACAACGACGACACCATTATGGCACCTTGGATCTTTAATATACATGTAAGATAAAAAATACTGAATAAGGATATGTCTGGAATGCGAACAGTCGACCCTTTTGGTGTCGGAGTTAAAGAGGTTTAACTGTGGCTAAATACGTTTTGCATGCTCTACAAGCTGTTCACGAGCCTTATACTTGTCTGTCTGTAGCTTCTTCTTTAGAAACTTTTTTATTTACAGCGGACCGGCTATTTCTGGCAACCCATTCCTCGGGGATCATTTGATCCCGGTAAAATTTTAAGCCTAGATATAATTGAGACAGGCACTGTTGATCACTATTTCTGATTTTCTGACCTCCCCACCAATTTTAATTGGTAAAATTTATTTATTACAAAAAAATTCTGACATATGAATTACGCAAATGTAGATTGTATTAACAATATACAAGAACCAAAAAAGAAATAACGTGCGTCGCTGGTTGCACCTACTTCGGTCGGTACTGTGCAGCTCATAGCAATAGCAATATAGAAATAATAACCGGTTACCTATAATCAAGCTCTTACCTCTCTCATGCGAGGTTTCCAGATGTCATCATTGTTGATAAGGGAACTGATAGTTGAGTTACTGTTATCTTAAAAGGGAAAACATACCAGGTCAGTTGGAAAACGATACAACGGTAGAACCACTGTGCCCTTTATCTAACAGGTCATATGTTGGTTCACCTTCTCCTCCTGCGCGCATATATGTAAGTCAAGTAAAACTCACGACTACGGGCAGTTGAAAAAATAATCTCTATTACATCCTGCCTAAACCCTAAGCCTATTCCTGCAATCGCTGTGATTTCTTGTAACACTTAGGTAGGCTTTGATAGATTGCGCCAGCCTAATGATTGGCAATCGTCATCACAAACAGAATTTTCATCTATTTTCCGAAAAAAGCACTGCTAGCATAATTTGCACCTTTGTCTAGTTTTGCAGCACATATATATTTGATTGGCATAACTGATCATGCAACCACTTTTTTTGGCCGGAGATCAGTGTTACAGGTAAATCCATCTTTTGCCTGCTTAGTGTCACATTCATTAGACCTGGGTCCCAAAGGAAATGACCCAGGACTCTATCCACTGGACTCAAGGTATGCGCATAACTATCGCGGGTACCCAAGATGGCGCCCGCGTTTTCATAGTTGTCAGATAGTTTTGTTGTTTCAGTGGTTTACCTTTCTAAGTGTTTAGTTGTAAAAAGTTTCTCATTGCATAGTTATTGAGGTGTTTTTACCAAATTTAAAGTAAAAAGTAGAAGCATAATTTCTGCATTTTTTGCTAAAACGAGCATAATTTACAAAAAATAGCATAATTATTGGCATAATTTTAGAAGTATACGAACACTTTTGCGAGCACAATCTATCAAAGCCTAGACTAAGGACGAACTCCTAGGTCTGTCCATTCAAAGGTAAAAATCTTCCAGTTAAATAACTAGCACCCTTCCAAATCGCGGGCCCTCTGATTGTTCCGTTTTGCTTCGCATAGAGTTTTTCCGTACCGGAGAAGTCCTATTTTCGATATTTTACACAAGAATAAGGACTAACTTGAACTAAACTGGAAAGTAAAGTAAAATTGCCGCAGTTACTTGTTCGACATAAACTGACCTTCTGTT